AGGACACATTGCAGCTGTGTGCCTGGGCCGTCAGAAGGTACAACCTCAGGAAGAATTGCGCCTGAAAGGTACCAGGGTTCCCAGCCAAAATAGGGTGGGGTTTTGCGCTTCGCGAAGAAGCATCTATAGGACAGGCACACACAAGCCCATTAAGAAAAAGCTATCACTTAAGGTGAAGCTACAAGGGGTTCCATTGGCTATGGAACTGGATACGGGGTCTGCACTTTCGATCATTTCCATGCAAACGTTTAGGAAGATTTGTTCTGGCAGTGGAACTCAGGCCAAGTTGAGGCCTTCCGACATTGTGCTAACAGACTTTCAAAACTCCAGAGTGTGTGTTAAGGGGGAGGCCACCCTTAACGTACAGTATAAGGATTTTGAAGGTCCACTAGATCTAATAGTAGTAGGGGGTGAACGAACGAGTCTCATAGGACTCGATTGGTTTGAGGCCTTGGGAATACATGTCACAGGGCTCAATAGTCTGCAAACACTTGACCTACAAGAAGTCTGCAAAGAATTTGCAGATGTTTTCAGCCCCCAGCTGGGCACATACAAAGGACCCCTGTGTCACTAAAGCTAGACCCCACTGTCACTCCCATTAGAATTAAAGCAAGAAGGGTCCCTTTTGCTTTAAAAGGTAAAATTGACACTGAGCTGGACAAATTGATTCAGCAAGGAGTTCTAGAACCTGTTGACTCCAGTCCCTGGGAAACCCCCATTGTCACGCCTCTCAAGGCAAATGGGGACATTCGCATCTGTGCCGATTACAAATGCACTCTGAATATTGCAGCAACATGCCTATCCTGTTCCTGTGGTCAGTCATATTCTGGCCTCCCTCAAGGGGGGGACGTGTTTTTGCAAAGCTTGACCTAGCTCAGGCATATCAACAGCTGCCTGTTGATGATGATGCTGCTGTAGCTCAGACCATTGTGACCCACAGAGGAGCATTCAAGGTGAAGAGGCTACAATTTGGAGTAAATGTCGCTCCTGGAATTTTCCAAAGCGTAATGGAAAACACACTACAGGGTATACCAGGGGTTTGCCCCTATTTTGACGATGTCTTAATTGCAGGAGACTCTACACACAATTTAGCTGAGAGATTAAGGGCTGTCCTGTTAAGGTTCAGGAAAACGGGCCTCAAGCTTAAGAAGGACAAATGTAAAATTGGAGTGCCTTCTACTGATTTTCTGGGATTCAAAATTGATGCTACTGGGATTCACCCTGCTGAATCCAAACTGAAGGCTATTATGCATGCTCCTAGGCCAAAGTCTAAGGCCGAACTACAGGCTTTTCTGGGCCTTCTGAATTTCTACAATTCCTTTCTTCCACATAAGGCTAGTGTAGCTGAGCCTCTTCACAGGCTATTGGACAAACAGGCAGTGTGGCAGTGGTCACAAAAGCATGAAGCAAGCTTCAATGAGGTCAAGGCCTTACTCACTTCTAACAGTGTACTTGCACATTTCAATGAATCCCTTCCTGTGTGCATCGCTTGTGATGCTTCTCCTTATGGGGTAGGAGCTGTATTAAGCCACCTCAGGTCAGATGGAACTCAGGTTCCTGTTGCATATTACTCCAGAACCTTGTCTTCTGCCGAGCGTAATTATGCTCAAATAGACAGGGAGGCTTTAGCTGTTGTTGCTGGAATTAAATAATTCAAGGTTTTTTTTTTGGCAGGCATTTCATGGTCTTCACTGACCATAAGCCTTTGTTGGGACTGTTTACTACTCGTAAGCAAACTCCCCAAATCATCTCCCCCAGAATGCTAAGATGGTCTATCTTTCTTTCTGCCTATGATTTCTCCCTATTTCACAAACCTGGGAAGGAAATGGGCCATGCTGATGGCCTCAGTAGGTTACCCCTGCCGGTAATAGAAGCTGACCCTGCACCAGCTATCAATCTTCTCTCCATTCAGGCCTTGCCCGAGTCTCCTTTAAATGCCAGAGATGTAGCCGCTGAATCAGGCACAGATTACACACTTTCATGTGTCCTTTCTTGGGTTTTATCTGGATGGCCAGAGAGCTGTCCTGGTACTGAGTTTCAGAGTTTCTGGTCTAAAAGGAACGAATTGTCCACCTTCCAGGGTTGTCTGCTTTGGGGAAGCAGAGTTGTCATTCCTACCTCAATGAGGACTAGGGTCTTAGGTTCCCTCCACGAGGGTCATCCTGGCATTGTACGCATGAAGGCACTTGCGCGCAGCCATTTGTGGTGGCCTGGGCTAGATAGGGAATAGATAGGTATTTCGCGCCCCGAAATACCCCAAGCTCCTGTACATAGATGGGAGGAAACACAGTCTCCATGGTCTAGGGTGCACATTGACTACGCTGGGCCCTTTCAGGGTCAATTCTTCTTGGTCCTAGTTGACAGCCATTCAAAATGGCTTGAGGTTGTACCTGTCTCTTCCACCACCACTGCAAAGACTATTCAAGTACTGAGGGGGATTTTTGCTGCACATGGGCTTCCAGACGTCCTCGTGTCTGACAACGGCCCTCAATTCACTTCTTCCGAATTCCAAGGTTTCTTACAGGCTAACATGATTCGTCATGCCACCTCTGCACTTTTCCACCCGTCCACCAACGGTATGGCTGAACGCATGGTTCGCATCACCAAGGACGCTTTGAAGAAAATTACCTACGGAGACTGGCATCACAGGTTGGCTGACTTCCTCCTTTCTTATCGCACTACACCGTCCACTTCTACAGGGAGAAGCCCAGCTGAACTTCGCTGGGGGCGCAAACTGACTACCAAGCTTGACTGGTTGCATTCGGACAGACTTCCTTCTTCTTTCACACTCCCCAGGGCACCTAGACAACTACTTGTGGGTGCCCCGGTTTGGACTCGTAATTACGGGCCCGGTCATTCATGGGTCCCCGCTAGTGTATCCAGGGTCAAAGGTCCTCTGTCTTACGAGGTGTCTCTAGACAACAGTCATGTCCTGCGTCGACACATCGACCAGCTTCACCTTAGATGGGACCTTCCCGCTGAGACTCCTGGGTCCTTTCCAGGGGGGGAGGGGGACCCCTTTGGGCAAAGGGAAGGATATGGGCTGCTGCCCATCATTAATGAGGAAGCTACAGACAGCTTATCCCAAGAGTCCGCGAGTGCTCCAAACAGGAATTCAAGGAGCTCAACTAGACATCAGGCATCAACGCCTACTCCAGCCAGGGAGTCACCCCGGGGGCATAATCACCACTCACCCGCATCACTCAGTACTCCAGTCAGGGAGGATATCCAGGAGCATCCCAACAAACCATTACCCCGCAAGAGAGCTGGCACATACTCCTTCTAGTTGGCCCGACACTACCCCTGTCCCTAGAAGGGGGCAAACATACAGGGAAGTGGTCGAGGAACCGAATCCCGACTACAACACCTCTGACTTCACTCAGGGGACAACTGAGTTTTGAGACAGCACTGAAACCCCCACAAGCCCGGGGACAGAACGAGAACCAGGGGACAGACAACCTCCTGACAGGTCTTGGACGGACCTAGGAGATTCCACAGAATCGCCCAACAGTGACAGTCACTTAGAGGGGCCAGAGTGCCTGCAGCTAGGCAGGACAACCAGGTCAAACAAAGAAAGAAGCCCTGGCCTGACGAGCCCGGTGAGCAAGCAAGCAGGCCAGGCATTGGAGCACAGCCCTTGGGAACCACCAGGGTATAATAGGGGGGACAGATAGGCATCACCCCTCAGTCAAGGGGTACCTGGCAGGTACCCAGTGGTTAGGAGGTCACAGAGAGCCAGAAGATACCCTAAGTATTTAGAGGATTTTGTAACTCTATTGGCAAAACAGAGTTAACAGAGAACATTCCTGTACACAGAGGAAATAGAACACGGAGACTGATGGGAACAAAAGAAATGCATAGCATGAGGTAGTATGGCGCTACTCTCGCAATGGGTTATGTGTTATTATGACATGATCAATAGTCTTAGCCCGGGGGGAAGGGGTGTTATGTCCTGAGCCTGTGCAAGCAGGCTCGGGGCATTGCAGGCGGTCCCGGGCAGGTGCAAGCTGCCCGGGACTAGACAGGCTGTCACCAGTACTTGTGTGCATGCGCAAGTGCTGGCGCGCCAAAAGTTGCAGATTGACCCGGGAATGGCTTATAAAAGAGGCCGGGAGTTTTGGGAGTTGTCAGCATCTTGTAACCAGTATGCTGAACTGAAATAAAGAAGTTTCCTGAGAACTACATCTGCTTCTCGTGTCTTGCCATTTCGCGAAGGACGCAACAATACTATTTTCAATCATAAAGTAATGCTACACTAGTGGGACAGAATTAAGCTGGACCATGCTACTTATACTTCATATTTCACTACTCAGTTGCTGTTGTCAGCAGTTTTCACTTAGTTAAATGGCACTGACTTGACACAATCAGCCTAAGTATTTTAATTATCTTTATATAACCCATATTTGGTAAATGATTATTCAAGCTAACATTTTTCAACTAGTTGAATTTAGGATAAATGTTTTAATTTTTTTCAAACTCCATATATTTCCTGATTTAACAAAAGCCATAAGTATTTTCTTTATCAATATCTTCATCTGATTGAGCTGGGGGGGGGAGGAGATAAAATGCAATGATCTGATTTTATTGTGTGATCTCCCAAGTAGGAAGGAAAATCCGTAAATGTTCTAATGCAATTTAAAATTCTACAAAGTGGACAATGTTTGTCAATGACAATCTGTTTGTAGAATTTGTGCTAAGCACTCATACATTCATAGTTATGTATACCAAGTCTCAAAAATAATCCCAAACAATTGTATTCTTTTCACATACTTGCTATGCAGTGAATTTTGAAGTTTGTGCAATCATGTCTCCAGATTTTGTTCTAATTTTCAAAATACTAGTAGGATCCTCTATTTTAACCTTACCCCTCCTCCTTGCCAAATCATTTATTCTAATTTAATTTGTGGTATTTATGTGTTTTTACTCTTCTGTGAGAAGGGTTTTTAAAAATCACTTTGCTGAAATTGAGTGGTGGAAAAAGAGATGTCAGAACACCGATATCAGAGTACAAGTATATAATTGTCAATTGTAAGAATATCCTCTCTGGAATGTTTTTATCTTCATTCAGATTTGTACATGGGTTGCTCTAATGGTTGATCTGTGATGAGGCTTGGATGAAAGTAGGACAAACATCCTTCTTCCTGGATCTTTCAGTGGGCTTCACTATTGTAAATCGTAGTATCCTTTTGGACCACCTATCAACACTGAAAATTGAGACACAGAGTTACAATAGTTCTTATGAACAAATGAGTTCAGATAGTGATTATGGAATGCAATTTAAGATTCTGGTCACTATTAATAAAACCATATACGGCTTGGGGCCTGGATATCTGTCCCCCTTAGTTTCTACCCTTCTTAGCTGGCAGTACCTTCTAAAGGTTCTGCTTACCAAGAAGTAAGGCAGGAGTAATAATTCCTATATTTTGGAATAATTGCTGCCTGCAGTAAGAATGGGTCTCATTCTCAGAGGCTCCCAGAAGCAGATTTTTAAAAAATGGTTCTTCTTGAAACAATTAGGATTTAATTATAACCAGCAAAGACAGATTCAATAAATTGTACCTTATTATGTTTAGGATTAATTTAAACTGAAACTTAATTTGATTGCTATATTAATTATTTATATTAATTTCATTGCACATTATCTGTAAAGCTCTGTGAATTACCTGTCTTCCTTTTGACAAACTTCATAAACAGTTAGCCAGTAAAATGTTATTTCTGGTTTCTAATGAAGAGGTGCCCACATATTTATAATATTGAAAAAAAATATGGATTGCATTTGCTTTTAATATTAAACACCTGAGTGCTAATATACTTGTTTATTCTCCAAGGCTCATCTTTCCAAATGAATATGCAGTCAGTTTTTCTGAATGCTGTAAACACTGTCATGAATCATAAGTAAAATAAATTTATAGCAACATGTGATGCAAATGATGATTCACATTGTAATTTGATGATTACTTTAAAAGCATCTTTTTTGAAAGCTCAATGATCTCTTTTTCTGAGTCAATTGTACTAGCAAGCATTTTATACAATGTATGGGATTAGGAATGATTTAGTGAAGTTTTAGCATAACATTCAATAATAAAGGATTGGTAATAGGAATTTAGTGTTCTCCCATGGCTGCCAATAGTGAGATTTATTTGCTCTTTGCAAGTTGTCTCACATTGTCATCCACCTCATCTTCAGTGTTCGCAATTGAAAATACTTTCTGCAACTTGAATTGCAATATTCCTGATAATCTAAAATTCTGTTAAACTGTGGCAATGCTTAATTAATGATCAAACTAAAAACAGATGGTTTTTCAGACTTTATGTATATTATCCAGATGCTCTTTCTTTAAATTTATATAATTTAAGATTCTACTTCCTACCAGCCTGAAAGAGTTCTTCTCCCTTTGCTTGTTTTCTTTAAATTGAGAACCTGATGCAAAGGCAGCAGTCTGAACAGACATACTTATGTTCACTATAATATCTGAATTTTTAACAGGGATCCTGCAATCAATCATCCAATAATTCCACATCAGTGACATGTATTCATAGGAAACAAAAAAAAAAGCTTTGCTAGAAAAGTGGACATAAATAAGATGAAGAGAAGGGTTGTCAGGGAAATTCTGGAAATAAGTTTATTATATGAACCAAGCAAAAGGATATTTTGCTATTGGTGATAGCTGTATCATAGCCATTTGTGTTATCACTTACAATGTGGTTTGCAAATATATACATCTGACACAAAAAGGTTGCCAAATCCAGCTTTAAAGAATGATAAGCAATGATGACACTTTTTATGTGCCATAAAGTTATTATAGATTTTCTCCACAATAATCTGTCCCTGATCTGATCTTTTAGGTCTTCCAACAGTGCACTCATATCGACTTTAACTGAGTCCATCCATCTTGCTACTGGCTGTCCTCTTCTTCTCTTTCCTTCTACTTTTCACAGCATTGGAGCCTTCTAGATCTCACAAATAGAGTGCTCAAATAATAAATTCTAGTACAGACAGTTCTCAGTTTATGACTATGTTGATTCATTCCTATTTTTTTCTAAATTGAAATAATGCAAAAAGTGATTTTAGATAGATTGTGCCCATTAATTTCATGGTTTTTATGTTTTTCTTTTTTCTAGGCGCCATGTGAGATTTATTTCCTGTGTTTGAAAGTAACATTTCAACTTCTAGAAAGTATTTTCTTGGTTAAATCCCAATTAATTTGTTTCCTATAGATTAACTTGGACCATGCTGAAAAAGAAAGTATAAATTGACAAAGCATTAATCTTCCTCAAGTTTTCTTTTTTTTCTCCTTCACAAAATTGGTATAAATCTCTCTTTAAAGCTAGATGGCAAGTCATAATATTAATAAAAAATATTGCTAAATGATAATACTAAAACTGTAATCATTAACCCAGCCTTTTCCTGCCTGATACTTTCTTGATACATTTTGATTGTGAGAATATCCACCTAGTATGCCCCAAACTATACTTATTTTCCTGCATTTTTGTGATGGCAATAGTGGCAATGGTAGCAGTGACAATATTGGCATCCCAACCTCTATCTTGTCCAACAGCTAGTTAAGACATGCTGCAAAACTGTTGTGTATCTGACACTGCCAGTGATTATTTTTTTTATAAAACCATTCCAGAAATCTGAATAGTAAGAAACTTATACAACCAAGCATTTTCCAATGTGCTTACATTCTATAAGAACATTGGACTAGCTGTCACCATTGTGGACAAGAAAGGCAGATATGATCAATTTGCCTTCTTTGAAAATAAAGTGGTACAAACAAGCCTCTCTTTCACTGACTGGAACTGAGGCCATCTTCATTTAACCTTCATGTATTCTATTTGTAGAGAAGTCATTTTGGAGTCCTCCCAGATTCTGGAAGGCCAATTTTATTCCATTGTTCAATCTCATTGGGAAAAACTCTTTTCAAAAGATTTGTAGGTTGTAAGGTTCATGGAACATTGATTTTATAAGGTCTAACAAATAAAAAAATATAATGGTGGTCAATCAAGAGTTCAATAAAGTGCAATGAAATTATTTATAGTCCCTTTGTTCTGTTGATTTTAAAGACTGCTGGAGACAATGGAAAGTAAATGTTTATTTCTTGAGTTTTATCATCCAGAAAGGCAGCTTCTTGATATATATTCTCTCTCTATTTCTCTCTCTCTCTCTCTTTGTGTGTGTGTTTAAATGCTGAGTGATTGTTCATACGAGTGACAGTTTCAATCAGTTTGTGATTGAAATAAACAAACTGCAATGCAGATGTTTTTAAGTTTGAATTTTTATTTCATGTTTTGGTTTTTATCCATTTAAGATGTGGGCAGCTTTTAATCAAGAATAATCCTCATAAATTACTTTATATCAGTCAAAGGTTTATTATGGTCATAGACCAGCATAAATGGATTATGTAACATGAAAGTTATGATGACAACAATGAATTGCATGGAATGATTTAAGTATTCAATTAAAATGTTTGCTCAAGGTCTCTAGAAGTTTAGTAAATATCCAATACCTTATCTCTGTGTACATATGCACATTTACATACTTACATGTACCTACTGGTCCTGAAAAAAAATTAAATTCACACTTACATCATCAAGCCTTGTATAGATTTTATATTTTTTAAAAAAACCTATAATGTTGTATGCCAATGAAAGTTTTGCACGTACGTTGCCTGCCTGTCTCCAAGAATACTGGCACTACACAGTCATTTGCTTGCAAAGCACATTAAATCATGTTCTGGGCAATTCGAAAAGGTTAACTGAGGAAAAATACAACTACTTTTGTATTGTATTTTAGGCAGCATCCTACTCGCAATTATTCAATGATCCTTTTAAAAACTAGGAAACATTGCAATATTTGATCATCAATCAGGGATGTAATAGGATGCAGATAATTCCATCAGAGTAATTGTATCAGGCTTAATTTCTTCAACTGCCATAGTCATTTGGTCAAACTCTAGTTAAGAGATGAGAAGAGGGACAACCAGCTCTGGTGAGATTCTTCCTCTCCCTTATTTTTTTTTCCATTCCAGATGGTCATTATAAAATTACTATTTATTAGTAAAATTGGTATCTTAGTTTCTTTTTTAAAAAATCATCCAGTTCTACTGTTTTTCTCCATTGTGGCATAGCACTCAGATTATGTTGAAAGAGATTCCCTTAGATGCCATTATGGAGGGGGGGAGGGTTGCATCAAATTTGGACAGTTTTTAACTTTAGTTTAGACTGTTGTTGTTAATTGTGAAGTCGTGTCCTATCCGTTGCGACCCCATGGACAACGTTCCTCCAGGTCTTCCTGTCCTCTACCATCTTCTGGAGTCCATTTAAGTTCACACCTACTGCTTCAGTGACTCCATCCAGCCATCTCATTCTCTGTCATCCCCTTCTTCTATTGCCCTCAATCTTTCCCAGCATTAGGCCCTTCTCCAGTGAGTCCTTCCTTCTCATTAGGTGGCCAAAGTATTTGAGTTTCAACTTCAGGATCTGGCCTTCTAAAGAGCAGTCGGGGTTGATCTCTTCTAGGACTGACCGGTTTGAACGCCTTGCAGTCCAAGGGACTCGCAGGAGTCTTCTCCAGCACCATAGTTCAAAGGCCTCAATTCTTTGGCGCTCAGCCTTTCTTATGGTCCAACTTTCACAGCCATACATTGCAACTGGGAAAACCATGGCCTGGACTATACGCACTTTTGTTGGCAGGGTGATGTCTCTGCTTTTTAGTATGCTGTCTAGATTTGCCATAGCTTTCCTCCCCAGGAGCAAGCGTCTTTTAATTTCTTGGCTGCAGTCCCATCTGAGGTGATCTTGGAGCCCAGAAAAATAAAATCTGTCACTACCTCCATTTCTTCCCCATCTATTTGCCAGGAATTGAGAGGGCCGGATGCCATGATTTTGGTTTTCTTAATGTTGAGTTTCAAGCCAACTTTTGTACTCTCCTTCACCCGCATCAAGAGGGTCTTTGGTTTAGACTAGTGATTGTTAATTGCACTTGGTGACCAAATGTTTAATTAGAACCTGGCAACTTCAAAAAGAATCTATAGCATTCAATGCTAAAGTGTGAATCCTTCTAAATTAATTAGAACAAAATCTAGATTCTTTTTTTTTAATTTGACAAAATTGTCTGGTTCACAACCCCACTTTTTAACCATAAGAAACAGTTTACCATGTTTTTCCAGCCACAATTCTTTCTGAGAAATATGGTGAATCTTAAATAATATTTTATCTAAGTTAGCTTTGATTCCTGTAAGGAGGTATGTTTTAAAATATTTTGTAGAGCTCAAGAAGAACTGGGGTGCAATAGCTCAGCGGTTAAGACGCTGAACTTGTCAGCTGGGAACCTGACAGACCCGAATGCTGTGTGACAGGGTGAGCTGCCGTTATTTGCCAACCTAGCAGTTCAAAAGCATGCAAATGCAAGTAGCTAAATAAGTACCTAAATATCTATTTTAATGCTGGCCATATGATGATGGAAACATTTATCAGAGAAAATAGACTCCCTTGATTTGGAATTGGAAATGAGCTTCGCCATCTTGAATCAGTCATGACTGGACAAGAGAACCCTTTACACCTTTTTAAGAAGAATGGTGGACTGTGAACCTTTAACCATTGTTTTCCTTTAATGCAACTAATCCTTTTTCCAGCTCCACAGATCCTATCCTAAATCTTTCTTTTCCATTTCAGTATGAAATCACAAACTGACGCTTCCTCCAGCTAAGTATAAAGGTATACTATATCTGCATATTTTATACAATCTTGTTTAAAAATTAAATACTTCATAGCTGTTTGGGTATTTAACAAAAAATAAAAATAGCAAAATCCTGTTTTTTAATTAACCCACTTGCATTTTGATATAATCTTTTTTTCTATGGAGAAGCCACAAAAAATCTAAAAAATATATCTATAAAAAGGCACACCATAAAAATCATAATTTTTAAAGGAATTAAAGGAAGTTTGGGTCTGCTTGTGCCCTAAGTAGATTTCCAAAGACAACCAACCTGAAATACCAAGTTTTAAACTTCAGATTTACAAATCTAACTTTAAATCGAAACTTTAGTTGAACTGATAAATTTTTGGAGCAGCCTGATTAAATATAATAAACTCCAAAACTGGATTCCAAACTGAATCATTATGAACATAATTAAAAAACAAATTTGTCATACCATAGTGTATAAAATTATGGGCAACTCAAAATGCAGGAAGTAAATAATAAGACCATGAAGAGCCCTGCTGGACAAGATTAAGAGTCTATTCAGCAGCTTGATTTCCGTGGCTGCCAACTAGAAAATGAACAAGTAGGTCAAGAGACAATAACACATTCCTGTCTTATTTATGGCAGCTGATGTTTACTAGCTTGCTGCCTTCGAAAACCAGGGTTCTATTTAATTGTCATGATTAATAGCTATTATTATATGTATTTGTAAATATTGTTTACAAATATTTAATCTGTAATATTAAAGACCCTCATCATATCTTCAGTTATAGCTGACAGCAAGTTAATTGTGTTAAGGACTGCACTTTATCTTGTCTGATCTGAATTTCTGATATGATAGTAGGAATATACTTTACTCACATGAATCATCATTTTATATATTTTTCTCTAGAACATATTTGCATTTATTAGTCTGTCGCTGACAAAGTATTTCACCACCTGAAGAAAAAAAATGTTATTTTTTAAAAAAAATAAAAGTAAAATTCATTATCAATAATGAAAACATTTCAGAAACATGTGATTTAGAGATGTCTGAAAAACTAGCAAAGAGGGCTTAGAAGTGATTGAATCAACATAAAGAAAATTTGATCCAAGTTGTCCCGTAAGAAACCTGCAACAACTGTAGTTGAACCACCTTGCTGAATCTCAACAAGCAGCGTAGACCACTTAGACCAGGGATAGGCAACCTTGGCTCTTTTATGACTCATGGACTTCAACTCCCGGAATTCTGGGAGCTGAAGTCCACGAGTCATAAAAGAGCCAAGGTTGCCTGCCCCTGATCTAGACGGTTGTACATCTTTATACTTAACTCTCAGAAACTCATTCTTCATATGGAAACTAAGTGACACCCAACATAAGACTTTTTCATCACCCACTCTTTTGTATATTCTTATAGAATCACGTTAGAAGAATTTATTTAAAATTGTGGGCTAGAGCAGATTGACAGAAATTATGATTACGTGAAGTCCCATCTAACATAGCTGCATCTATACAGATCTATAAAAATCATGAGCAATATGTGGAGTGCTTGGAGAAAGTAGTAATAAGAGAAGCAAAAAAATATCTGTGTAAAGTGCTTCTCTCTACTTCTTTCTAGAATATGACTTAACATATTCTTAGCCTGTTGCTTATCCTGAAAACGAGTAAAGTGATGTGATATATATATCTTTGTGTGATCTTTGTGAAAAATCTTTCTTGAAGCAATTTGACATGAAAGTATATTTACGGATTAAAATTATACCATCAGGGTACCATCAAGGTCTAGTTTACCATCTAGGTTCATGTATAGTTTTAAAAATATATGTCATGCTGGAAAAAGAAACAAAAAGTATGATTTTCCCAATGATCTGCAAATGCAAAAAGTTTTGTAGGTTCAGTCTGATTGGGAAGACATGCATGCAGCAGACTGAAGGAAAAGCTTAGCAACCAGAGAACCAATCCCTGCAAAGTTACTGCCCAGATTTCTTCAGTTGAAAATGTGTGCAATTAATTAGCATTTGGTATTACCTGAAATGCATAAAGATTAGGGTAGAAATAGATCTTCTCATCTCTCATTAGTCATAGTCCTAGAAGGCAAGCTCAATATTTAAGTAGGTGGAAAAGGAAAGCGTTTGCCTTCCAGCTAAAAATATGAGATGGGTTTGCGATATACCTATTGACCTTATCTGCCCTGATGCAAAATATTTAGCAATGCAATGTTTTGCTTGATGTGTTTCAGGCAGTGACTCCGCTTCCTCACTTCTTAAGCCATACAGAAATAATTTAAAAAGAAGAGGGTGCAAGCAGGAATGAATATATATTGATTTCAGCTTATGTTTAATAAGAGTTGTAATAAGGATTTGTCCTTCTGGAAAAGCTATTGTTGGTACATGTGCAATAACCAGACCTTTAGAAATATTAGTAGCAACATGTTCCACCCAGGATTTGATGCAATGATGATACTTTTCTGGCAAACAAAAGACCCCACAGGAACCTGGCTTGGCATAGCCTAACCTATCTTAAAACTACTTTTTAATGTCTGATTACAGCATGTAATTATATGTTATTATCTAAATTCAAAATTTCAACTTATTCCTGTAAACCACATAAGCAGATTCAAAAAGTGACAGTTTTGCATAATATATGTATGTATGTATGTATGTGTATATATATATATATATATATATATATATATATATATATATATATATATATATATATGCATGCATTACTATTTTTTATAAAAAGTATGCCAATATAATTACATTGAATGCAAGCTTAGAGTGGGATAAATGATGTTATTCTTGTCTGAGGATAAGTCCTACCAAATTTAATGGGATTCTGATGAGAGTAGCTAGCTATAGTGGGATGGAACAAGATATTGAACTACAGCTACCATCTTGTCTTAAATACTTGTGTGCTTGTGTGCTTCCACTCCTAAGGCAATTTGGAAAGAGCTTTTTCCAGATCTACAGAAAGTTGCAGTGGACTCAGGTATTGGTTCTGGTTTGAAGAACCAATGGCAATAGCTTGAACAACATCTCTGCCAGTCTGTGATAAAGGTACCTGGGAAAAAGGAAGCCCTGAAACTGATATCTGGCAGAAAAAACAAAACAGAAGTGATTATTCCAAACCAGGGAGCATTGTAAAAAGAAAGTGGCTATAAAAATGAGTACAGGTGACTGAAAAGTACAACTTATTTCCTCAAATGAAAATAGCAACAGGGCATAAATGATTCTTTGACTTCTTTTCAATGCATTGAGTTTTTAAACACATTTGAAAAGAGTAATGACCACTGTCATCTTATTATGTCTTATCTTCACTTTCTTTTATATTCTAAAATGTAACTAAAATTATAGGGTGAAATTTATTGTTTCTTTTTCTTACCTTGCCTCTAAGGAGACTGGAGTAGCACAGAATTGTGGGAAGTTGGTTAGTATGATTGAAAATAACTTTCTAGGGCAGGGGTGTCAAACTCGCAATGTCACGTGACATGTTGCAACATATCGTGACTTTTTTGCCATTGCTGGCAACGGGGTGGCCGCGGTTTCGCTATGATGCATCCGGCCCACGGGCCAGCCATTTGACACCCCTGGTCTAGGGCAGAGATGGTGAACCTTTTAGAGACCAAGTGCCCAAACTGCAACCCAAAACCCACTTATTTATTGCTGGGTGCCAGGTGGATGTGACCCACTGGATGGGTATGGCCCACTGGGTGGGTGTGGCCCACTGGGTGGGCGTGGCTGCAGTATTCGAGTACTACCAATCATCTAGCAAGGTGTCAAAAACTTGACCAAAAAAAGGAAAAAAGTGATAAAGTACAGGTAGTCCTCGACTTACAACAATTCACTTGGTGACTGTTCGAAGTTACAACAGCACTGAAAAAAGTGACTTATGATCATTTTTCACACTTATGACTATTGCAGCATCCCCAGGATCACATGATTTACATTTGGATGCTTGGCAACTGATTCATACTTATGACCAGGGCTTTTTTTCTCCTAGAACGCCCAGAACAGAATTCTGGCACCTTGTTTGGATGGAACCCTGTAGGGTAGGCAAGGTTGTATGACGTGTGTGAGTTCCAGCACTTTTTTTTAAAGAAAAAAGCACTGTTTATGATGGTCAGTGTCCCACGGTCATGTGATCACCTTTTGCAACTTTTTGACAAGTGAAGTAGTAATAGTAATAGTAGTAAAGTTGGAAGGGACCTTGGAGGTCATCTAGTCCAACCCCCTGCTCAGGCAGGAAACCCTACACCATTTCGGACAAATGGCTGTCCAGTCTCTTCTTAAAAACTTCCAGTGTTGGAGCATTTACTGCTTCTGGAGGCAAGCTGTTCCACTGATTAATTGTTCTCACTGTCAGGAAGTTTCTCCTTAGTTCTAGGTTGCTTCTCTCCTTGATGATTTTCCACCCGTTGCTTCTTGTCCTGCCTTCAGGTGCTTTGGAAAATAGCTTAATTCCCTCTTCTTTATGGCAGCCCCTGAGATATTGGAATACTGCTATCATGTCCCCCCTTTTCCTTCTCTTCGTTAAACTAGACATACCCAATTCTAGCAACCGTTCCTTATATGTTTTAGCCTCCTGTCCCCTAATCATCTTTGTTGCTCTTCTCTGTACTCTTTCTAGAGTCTCAACATCTTTTTTACATCGTGGTGACCAAAACTGGATGCAGTATTCCAAGTGTGGCCTTCCCAAGGCATTGAAGAGTGGTATTAATACTTCACGTGATCTTGATTCTATCCCTCTGTTAATGCAGCCTAGCACTGTGTTGGCCTTTTTGGCAGCTGCCGCACACTGCTGGCTCATATTTAAGTGATTGTCTACTAGGACTCCGAGGTCCCTCTCACAGTTCCTACTATTGAGCATGGTGCCACCTATGCTGTACTTGTGCATTTGGTTTTTCTTGCCTAAATGTAGAACCTTGCTTTTTTCACCATTGAATTTCATTTTGTTAGTTAGTGCCCAGTCAATGGCTGGGGGGGCATGGCCAGCTCAATGTCACTCAGGTTGCGGGGCACCTCTGGGGGGTGCAGGTGGGGTTGTGGGGGATCCAGGGGTGTCTGGTTGAGAGGGTGGAACTGCAGTGGGTGCCTTCCCTCCCTCCAATTGTCCCTCCCTCCCTCCCTTCCTTCCCTTTCATTGTCCCTTCCTTCTTTCCCTCCCTCCCTCATTGTCCCTTCCTTTTTTTCTCCCTTCCTCCCTCCCTCCGTGCCCAGGAAGGGACAAGAGGAGGGAGACAGACTGCCAGTGCAGCTGGTGGCTATGCTGCCGGTGACCATGGCTTGAAAGGCCACTGTAAATTGCTGGACAAGAGCCACAAGCCATGAGAGCAGAGTGGCAGGAAGGTATTTGTAATTAGGGAGGGAGAAAAACAGGCATCCTCTGATGGAAATCAGCTCTCGCCCACTTCACATACCCGTGGACTCTGGGGGAGAGGAACCATGAGTAGCATGAGAATCCACGTTACCTGCTCTATGCCGCCCAGACGCCAGCCTGGAGCCTGGCATCCTGGTGAAAGGGAAGCACTCAGTATACGGTCAGCCTGCATTGCAAAACAATCACCCGGGACACCAGGCGCCAGGCACATGTGCTCGCCGCTGTCTCTGCACATGCCCAGACAGGTTTGGCATGTTGTCAGTTCGCCTTGCCCAGTCCAGCCACTCTTGGGCTGAGGAGAACACGCCGCTGGCTGTCGAAACCAGGCTGGGTCTGGGCGGCGTAGCGCAGGTAACATGGACTCTCATGCCGCTCATGGCATCCTGTCCTACGGAGTCCATGGGTGTGTGAAGGGCCATTTGTGGATCTCCTTTTTCCAAATGCTTTCTGCTTCACTCTTTCAGCCTTCTCTCGCATTTCCTCCAAGCGCTTTCTGCTTCACTCATTCAGCCTTCTCTTGCATTTCCTCCAAGTGCTTTCTGATTCGCTCATTCACACTTCTCTCACCATTTCTCCAAAGTCCAAGCTGCTGCTGCTTCCCTTACTCGCCCTGCTCACCTTCCCAAAGTCCAAACTCACTCGTGATACTTCTCTCACTCGCCCTGGTCACCTTCCGAAAGTCCAAACTCCCGCTGCTTCCCTTGCTTGCCTTCCCAAAGTCCAAACACATGTGTACTACTTTCCTTGCTCACCCTGGTCACCGTCCCAAAGTCCAAACATGTGCATACTACTTTCCTCATTTGCCCTGCTCGCCTTTTCTCCAAAGTCCAAACTCACATTGCTTCGCTAGCTTGCTCACCCTTTCTCCAAACTCACGCTGCTCACTCATTGTCCTGACTGCCCCGTTGCTTCCAAAGGCCATGTGCTGTCTCCCGCTCTCTCACCAAAACCTCTCCCCACCCAGCTCTCACAGCTGCTCCCAGACTCCCGGTGCAGAGAAAGAGACCGAGAGTGCTGCTGGATTTGGTTTCCCTGCTCTCTCCAGCTCCCACCTAGTCAGGTGCACATGGAGAGGGGGAGGGGAAGAGCCCCGCCCCACATCCCTCTGGGGCAATGGCACATGTGCCCACAGACAGGGCTCTGTGTGCCACCGGTGGCATGCATGCCATAGGTTAGCCACCATTGGTCTAGGGGGTCAAGGCACCTCGCTAAACTTTGTAGCTGACAGGGATTCGAGGCCAACTCTCCCTGGTCTGCTCCAACATTTTGTATACATACTGTATTTTCTGTTTTCATGGAAAGTGATAATGGACTAACATAGTTTTGTAATCGCAACAGAATGATTCATCACTTCATATTTTCCATAGATTTTTGACTGCAGTCCCAGTAAGCTACATATGTATGATGGCAGCTCTTTAGATAGAGAAAGTTGATTAAGATAATGGATCTAAATATTAAAGAGGTGTAACAAAATTTTCTTCTTGTGAACTTCTGCAATATGGCAGTTATGGTATATGGTTTTGATGAGGAGATTCAGCTTCAAATTTTTACTTGACTATGGATCTCAGTGAGTGATTGGAAGCCAGTCATTGTGTTGCAGCCCAACATATTTCAAAAGATTATTGCGGTTGGAATAAAATAAGGGAGATCTCTATTTACTGTATGCTGCTTTTATCTCTAAAGGTTTTATTATATATCTTAACATATTGTTTTGGACCGCAATAAGAAAATTGTTTGCATTACCTTCTTTCAGTATTTTTTTTTTTTTGGAAATCTTAGTCTTGCGCATTTTAAGTATTATCATCCATTTTATTCAGTATTTTAATAAAAGGAAAAAGAGAAAAAGACCAGAGAGAGAAAGGACTGACAAGTTCTGAATTTGTTTTTCTAACTCTGTCAAAACAATGTCACAAAAAATGATGGAAAAAAATGATGCTGTCACTAATGAAACTGTTGAAAAATCACTTAGATGTAATGAATAAATGATACTCTTTTTCAAACTAATGAAAATAATGTTTGTTTTACTAAATGTAAGAAACAGTCACTAAAAAAGGGCAAACATGTTCATTTTTGCCTATCACTTACATTGTTTTTAGTTCCGTCCAAGGCAATGGAATACTGAAAAGAAATTATCAAAAGAGGCTCAGGACTCTGTTTATCTGTCAATCTATCAGCTGGATAATTCTCCAAAAACTGAATATAATGGGATAGAAATTTGTGCAGCAGGAGCAACTAGCATAACAAAACTCAGATTGACAGTGTTTGAGCCAGATCTAGGGAGGGAAGGGGAAAAATCTGGAAAAAACACTTCCCCATATTAGAAGTCAATTTTTATTGTATCTACAGCAGTGGTTCTCAACCTGTGGGTCGGGACCCCATTTGGGGTCGAACGACCATTTCACTGGGGTCACCAAACAAGGCTGTCCACCATTTTTTCCCCCTTTTCTTTGACCACGCCCCTGGCACCCGGTGATGTATAAGTGGTTGGGGGTCACCACAACATGGGGAACTGTATTATGGGGTCGCGGCATTAGAAAGGTTGAGAACCACTGATCTACAGGAAGTAAACATAGGAGAAAGTAGGATGCATATAAAATGTTTATATACCTTCAGGGTTGATTTCTTGTAAACAATTTTACTGGCATTAAAAAAAATAAATTAATCAGGTCCATTGGAGATGTGCTTCTCCTATGCCCTTAGTTGAAGACTCAAAGATATAGTGTGACTGTTTTGAAGGAAAGATCTGCAGTGATGGAGAGAAAAAAACACACACAATTCAGCTCTTTCCATTACAGCAGAAGAATTCAGTTACAAATAATGTAGCAAGGTTTTCCTAAATAGCAACAAACTTTGGTTTAGATTCCATTCCATTAAAAGAAAGCAATGGAATGAGATATTAATTGTAATTTTCAAATAATGTTTATATTTTCAAACCTATTTGTATATTGTACACACCATTTTCTGACTATAATAAATTAAAAATCAAACTAAAAAACATACTGCACATTTAGCAGTATGTCCCTTGCTGTTATAGAACAGCATGCAAGAAAACTTTAACTATCCCTTGAAAACAGCAGGGCAACTGAAATGTGGATTTTAAAAATCCTAATCTGTACTTTTTGTCTGATGAATTAATTTTCTGGTTTTGGTTACTAAATTAAAAAAAATAGTCCAAATTCTTTCTCTGAATTCAGTTTTTATTTCAGTAGTTAGCAACACATTGATGTCTGCATTGGTTATCAAAGGAATAATTTGTTCTAAGGATCTTTCTGAATGTCATACATTTGACTGCATTTGCTTTAAATGATCACTGTCCTAAATCAGCACCAGAGAGGCTTGATATGGAGGTACAAAGGCACATTTTTATCCTGCTTCTATCTGATGTCAAAGTTTCTTCCCATCTCCTGAAAGCACCAGTTAATCTATCATCTAACAAATGGAAAAGGGACCTCAGTAAATGAGGATCATCTTAAGACAGAACTGGATAGTCAAATGGACTATCAAATCCAGTGAGATGCCTTGTGCTCTACTTTTGAGATCATGTGAGACATCAGATTGTACAGTAATTGATGTTTTGATCCATCGGTCTGGTACAGTGTAATGTATGTCAGTCCTATCACAAATAAAGATGGAAAGAATATGTGATTTTATATAATGTAATCCAGAGCTTATTACAATTTTCTTTAGTGTTCTGTTTCGCAAAGAAGTAATTGGTATCTTATGTGACAGAAGACTTTTCTTGCTCTGAACAATGAGATTCTCCTGAATGAATATATTTGGTGGTATCTTCTGAGTGTTATACTAAGCATGTTACATCAATATTCTGTCTAATTATGCAGAATTGTTGGAAGTGCAATCCTTACAACTGATGTACTTCTTGGTAACTCAGTTATCTTCTCCTGAGGGTCCCCCCCCATCCCCACTGTCACAGGTAAGAACTAGCAACCACATGTTCTCAGCTATATTGTTGACATAATCTGGTATTGTGTAGTATAGGCATGTTAAACTCACAGCCCATTGCCCATATTTGGCCCTAGACAGCTAGTAATGTAGCCCCACAGGATCATAAGCTATTAACATTATTATTTGATTTTATATTATGGAACTGACATGGAGACACCTGGCCCATAGAATCACCAAGAGTTGGACATGACTGAAAGGTTGTCATCATCGTCATCATCATCATCACCATCATCATCATCATCATATAATACATAAAACTGTATTATATGTTCTATATGAATGAGTGATTTTCTTTCAGGCTGCAATGAGTGAAGAATAATTGGATACCCATGGTGTAGTTAAGGGATTCAGCTAAGACTGTGAAGACCCAGCTTTGAATTCATCTCAGTCACTGAAACTTACTGAATGATTTCAAGCCCATCATTCATCTCATAGGCTTTTAGTTATGGGGAAAATTGAAGGAGGATATCTATATCCTGTTTTCTGAATGCTATGGAAGGATAAGGCTCAATATCACATTAACAAATAAGTAAAGAAACATTCTCAGAATAACATAAAGCATTTGCTCTGGGCTGAAAAATTATGGATGACAACAACTAGATGATAGCAATGAGTTAAGAGTTTCCTGTATCTCTTTGCTGCCCTCTAATAATATTCTGAATGTTTGCATTCTGGATCTGGTGATTGTAGTTTGAGGTGGCAGCCTCTTTTTTCTGGTAGCATTAAATGCTTGTATTTTGGAGAAAGGAATAGACCAGCTGTTCTCAACCTGTGGGTCGGGACCCCATTTGGGGTCGAACGACCATTTCACGGGGGTCGCCAAACAACGCAGTCCACCATTTTTTCCCCCTTTTCCTTAGCTGTGCTACTCCCTTTTATTCTATTGGCTTTTGAAAGCCAATAGAATAGACTCTCTTGAATAGTCTAATTCTATTGGCTTTCAAAAGCCAATAGGAATTGTCCAGGCTGTCTCTGCCCTGCTGAGCCTGCCAAAAGTCCCATTCTGCAAACGGTGCTGCAAGTTGTCTGCAGCGAAGGCGAGCCGTCTGGAAGTTTCCACCCCTCCCTGCTGAGCAACTACTAAAAATGTAAGTAAAAGAGGGCCAGGGGTGGGAGGTGGGAGGCCCATGGGCACAGGGAGGGTTGCAGGTGCGCGTGGGGCCCAGCGGGTGCCTTACCTCCCTTGGGCTGGGCCAGCTGGTGGCCCAGCCAGTGGTTGGCCTGCGCCGTCTCTGCCGCTTGCCAGCTACGCCTCGGCCGGCACAGGGGGCGGCACCACACATGCGCGGCACTCCAGGGCAAGGAAAGTCCTCGACTTACGACCGGTTGGGTAGTCCTCGACTTACGACCGGTTGGGTAGTCCTCAACTTACGACCGGTTGGGGTCGCGGCATTAAAAAGGTTGAGAACCACTGGAAAGACAGAGGTTAAAAGTGGCATTTTGTTTCAATAAATTACAACAGTATAAGGTACAGTTGTGGGATTATTTTTTTTTGCTTTGTGGAGCCTGGATACGTTTACTGGGCACTGTCATACATTCTTCTGATTAGCAGGTCTCCTTCTAACTTTATGGATAAAAAT